CGTCCCCAGGTGCAGCAGAAACCTGCACCTCCTGCTGCTCTCAGAGACACAGCCGAGAGTTTCTGCTGAAACAGAGAAGAGTGGAGGAGCTGCAGACCTCAGGTCTGCTGGGTGGATCGTTTCAGCAGCTGCTGCACATTTTGGAGTCTCATCAGCTCAGAGGAAAACTTTGGGATTATTTCAGTCTTTAAAATAAGAAGACAGGGAGAATCATCATCACCTGAGGGGGCGAGAAGAAACACCAGCGGAGGAAAAAAAGAGCAGAAGAAGTGCCAGTGTGCACGTTTGTGCAAAGGTTTAATCATCTGGAAGAAAAGCTTTCATGAGTTGAGCCTGGCTGGAGGCTTTTGTCATGGCAGCCGGCTGCAGAGCTTCCTGAGCGTCGACACAACAGTTTAACGGTGAGCGGCAAGATTTCATATCGTCTCTGTTTATTTCTCTTTCAGTGTAAATCAAGGTCACTGCATCATTTCAGACCTCAGACACGCCCAGTAAAAGTGCTGTTTATGCCCTGTCACAGTCAGACCTGGAGCTGCGCTTTAGTGTTTCAGTGAGAACAACAGGAACGCAAACGCACTGGTATCATCGTGAGAAGTGCAGCGACGCTCGAACAGCTGCTGCTCAAACACGTTTGTGGGAGAAGCTCCAGCAGGCGCTCTGTGAGTGACGATGGTCTGCAGGGCAGCAGAGCTTCAGCACCTGTTGCATCGATGGATGCAGACCTGCTGCGAGCTCCAGGCACGTCCAGCTGAAGCAGAATTGATTTCTTGATGAGTCTGTTGTTTGTATCAGTCATCACTGCTGAAGAAAAAGGAAGATTTCAGCTTAAATGTGTTGCTCAGTTATAAACTTGATCCACACTGTGATGTATCGGCCGCCTCCAGAGTGATGAATGGCTGTGCTCTGCTCCTCGCATCAAAATGAACTTTATGCTTGGTGAACAGTTCTAGCGATGCAACTTCTTCCAGCTTCCTTGGATTTCCTTCGAATATCAATCAGGTACTGGTGTCACCATCAGCCTTTGTTTAAGCTTTTCAGACTCTGTGTGTCAAATACATCCAAGAAAAAACGATTAACAATAATCAGGCCTCTCATCTTAATGGCCTCACGGTACCGTATCAGCCTATCAGAGCGCTGCAGGCTCGCTGGTTGTTCCTGGCGATCTGAATCCTCCTCAGTCACGCTGCTTTCTGCTCGTTATGTGTCTCTGCGTCCTTCTGTGGTCCTGAAAGCTTTTTATCATTCAAAGCTTCAAATCTTCTTTTATTTAATTTAAACAAGCCACAGAAATCCTTTGTGGCTGTCGTCGGCCTCTCAACCAGAAACAAGCTGCTGGTTAGTTTTGTCTTCATCTGTTTCCACAGTGATGGACAAACAGTGCATTGTTTGGCTAATGACGTCAGCCTGCTGTGGGACTTCCCATGATGCACTAAGCACTCTTCACACCCCCAGCCCCATTTCCTGTCTCCCTTTAACCAGTTATTGCAGATGTTGCTCGGCCAGATGTCTCTTCCTGTTAAAATGGAGTTCTTCCTCCCCACAGTCGAGTGACTGCCAGAGGATGCTGTCGTTTGTCACCGCCGTTGGGCATTCTGTGTGTGTCGTAAAGCTGTCGTCGTCGGAGCGTTTCATTTGTCCACAGTCGGAGTCCTTTGCAAACATACAGACACAAGCTGTTCGTGTAGCGTGTGAAATCCGTGCTAACGCAGTGAAGTCAAGTGTCGGTAAAATATTTGCTGGTAAAAAATGATGGCGGCCCCTCTGAGGAGGACGTTGCATCTCAGAGCAGATCCGCCCCTGCCGAGCTGTAAAATCTCTGCTGAGAACTGCTGTCGTTTGTTTCCCACCAAGTACGCAGCATCATTAAAGCGCTTCATGATTTATGGAGGTGTTTACGCTCTGGCAGGGTCGGTTTATTTCAGAGACGCTGCCGTCTGCTTTAATTCAGAAAAGTGGCTCGAAGCACATCGATGTTCAAAACCAAACTCCGAGAACTCGAACATCCACCCGCCAGTGGAGAGGAGCAGGTATCAGCTGCTCCGTCTGCAGCAGCGTCCTTTCCTCCACCCAGCCTCCCATCAACAACACCTGGATGGTGCTCATCATCTGGACTTCTGATCCCAGCGAGCTCTGCTGACCGCCTGACTCTCAAACATGTTTGTGTTTCTGCTGCGGCAGTCGGGTTTCTTCATGCCCCGGATGCTTCAGAGAGATCGACCGCAGCCACAAGCTTTAATGAGTCTCTGCAACATTTCTGCAGCGTTTACAAACGAAGGCGCTGCTCTGTCACTGAGCAGGAAGCACATGAACCCAGGCGAGCAGCTCCCAGGCTTCCTCAAGCAGATGAAGAAGACCCGTTCGTGAGCTTTGTCTACAGAAACATCTGCGCTCTTCGGTGGGGAAAGAGAAGTTTCCTTTTAAACGTTCTGGAGATGTCACCGTTTCTGGAGGAATGGCTTTTTAAAAACTCGTGATTTAAGACATGACAAGCTCCTGAAATCGAATGTTTGATTCTGGGAACTTCCTTGAATGCCGCCTGCCGTCCTTTCTTTAGATTCAAATCCCTCCTCTCACAGCTTCATCAGGGTCTTCCTCACTGTTGTTTCTTTGTATGAATTCACTTTCTGTTTTTCCTCTCATTAAATCCTCGTCTCCAGAATCCAGAGCTGCAGTCTGTTCAACTTTTTTCTCTCTGGATGTTTTTCAGGGACATTTTTCAGCTCGACAGCGAGACGACCACAAGAGCTGCCGACGCCACGAGGAGGTGACGCGAGGACAGTGGAGACGCAGATCTGTGGGGCTGAGCGAGTGTGCGTGCAGATGCCACACGGCGCTGCAGACGAGCTCGGACGCCCGTGTCACGCAGCTCGAAGGCGACTCCTCGGATTTCTCTCGCTGACTCTGTGAGTGGAAAATAAATCAGCAGGTTGGATATGAAACAACACAGCGGCATCGAGCACAAACAAAGCTTCAGATCGTTCCTGCAGAGCTGGGCTGTGTGTCTGTGATGAGCACAGACTGTCGTGTCGTTTTCAGGCTCTTTCAGGACAAACTGGTGGGTCACTGAGTGTCCAGCGACGCTCTGGACCTGACATCACAGAAGAGCAACGCTCTGAAAGGAGGCCGGCGAACACCTGCTTCTTGTTTTCGGACTGGAACATGGCAGTGACACAGAGTTTCTCTCGCTTACGAGAGACGATCTGAACTTTTAAAGGGAACATTCAACATTACGAAATATTCGGATGTTTCAGAATCTGTTCCTAGCTGAATATTCAGAGGACGCTTTGAGGATCGTTTCTGACTGACGGCGCCCTGCAGCATCCACCGCCATGCTCCCAGGAGGGCTGGGGTCCGGCGGAGGGGGTCGTGGCGGCGGCGGCCTGTGCCTGCTCCGGTGGCTGGGCCTCAGGCTGTGGTCTCGTCGGGGGACACTGGTCTTCGCTCTGCTCTGGTTCGGGTCCTGGTTGTTCCTGAACGGCCTGGTTCTGGTCCACAGGACCATCCTGTCTGACTTCTGCACCGACGACAAGAGCAAGAGGATCCTACAGAGACTGGTGAGTCAGTCCAGGCCTTCAGTTAGCACAGGAGTCTGGTTTTTGTGGTGGGGTTGGGTGGATGTGCACACCTGTGTGTGGCTCAGGAGATGGAGCAGGGCCTGTGATTGGAAGGTTGGTGGTGCTGAAGCCTGAGCTGCTCCTGAGGTGTGAATGCAGGTTTATGAAGGTTCAATGTTGTCTATCAGTCAAAGTTTAGCTTTTTTTTCTGAGGGGGGGTTATGATGGAAACGACCACCGAGCAGCAGCAGCAGCAGCAGCAGCAGCAGCAGCAGCAGCAGTGTACACTGGGAAACAGAGTTTTCTCTTTGTTTTCTTTTTTTCCACACAGAAGAAAACAGGATGTAAAGTGATGCTAAAATTTCAGATATGGTTCAAAAAAAGGTCGAATACCTGGTTACTGAAACACGAAGGCTGTCACCGGGTAAACTAACAGAGAATGTGTGAGAACACAAAGACACTACTGTGAGCTGGATTTAAATGTGATGCGTTTGCCTACTGCCCGGCATTAGCACGTCCCACTGTGAGCTTCCTGGAAAATGAAACGTTTCTAATTTCACAGCTCAGCTCTGGGATTTTCTGCTTCCTTCCTTGTGAGTCAGATTTATTAAGAAAACGTCGAGCAGATTGAGTTTGTAGTT